ACGCGTGTTTTCACGTGTCCAGGTCGCCCAGGCACAGCACAGCCTTCGGCACGGTACATCAATATCGATACCCTTAGCATTGCAGCCTGGCATGTTGCCTGGCACGTTCCGCGGAGCGTCCCGTGGCGAGTCCCCCTGGCACGTCGCGCGGTGCACGTCCATTGGCACGTTCCGTAGCGCGTCCCCTTGGCACGTCCCGCGGTGCGTGCCCATGGCACGTCCCCTGGCACGTCGCCTGGCGCGTCCCTTGGGACGTTCCGCGGCGCGTCCTCTTGGCATGTTCCCTCTGTCGATTAGTTCTGGGGCAGCTACCATCTGCTCAGGCAGCTCGAGCTTACGATCCAGATCAGTTCGGTGAGGACTCGGATGCCAGGGAGGACTCGATCCACAACGCTAGATAGAGCACAATCGCGGCATGGCACATCGCAGTTCAGCACGGCCCAGCACAGCACAGCCGTCGGCACGGTACATCAAGATCGATACACTCAACTATGCACCTTGGCACGTTCCTTGGCGCGTTCCGTGGCGAGTCCACCTGGCACGTCGCGCGGCGCGTCCCCTGGCACGTGCCTCGGCACGTCCATTGGCACCTTCCGTAGCGCGTCCCCTTGGCACGTCCCGCGATGCGTGCCCATGGCACGTCCCCTGGCACGTCGCCTGGCGCGTCCCTCGGGACGTTCCGCGGCGCGTCCTCCTGGCATGTTCTCTCTGTCGATTAGTTCTGGGGCAGCTACCATCTGCTCAGGCAGCTCGAGCTTACGCTCCAGATCAGTTCGGTTAGGACTCGGATGCCAGGGAGGACTTGATCCACAACGCTATATATAGAGCACAATCGTGGCATGGTACATTGCAGTTCAGCACGGCGTCGCACAGCACAGCCCTCGGCACAGTACATCATCATCGATACATTCAGCATTGCATGTGCCCGTCCCCCAATCAGGTGTCTTTGAACTGTTGCAATGCCTTACATTTCTATATTCCTTTCCGGGTTCGTGGGTCGATCATGTTTCAGCATGCCCGTCAGCATTGAGTGGTCCCGAATGTGACCACCACGGTCACCACATGTATAGAAAGGGTTGGGTACGTCGCAGGGTAATTTTGGCCAGGCCAAGGCGCCTTCTGTCAAGAGAATATGGCGCGAAGTTCAGGCAAGATGCGATAGGCAGAGCATGATGCGGATTAGGAGGAGGAGGAGGAGAAGGAGGAGGAGGGAAGGGTAATGAGGAGCTCGAGGATGATGATGACGATGAGGAGGAGAAAGAGGAGGAGGAGGAGGAGCAGGAGGGAGGGAACATGAAGAGCAAGGGGAGGTGGAGAAGGAGGAAGAGGAGACAAGGAGGGGGGGAGGGAAGGAGGAGGAGGAAGAGGAAGAGGAGGAGGAGGAGGAGGAGGAGGCAAGGCGGGGGAGGCGGCGGAGGAGGAGGAGGCGGCGGAGGAGGAGGAGGACGAGGAGGAGTTGTTTCCTCCCTGCTTTGAAGGCCAAAACAGCAGGTTCCCAGAGCCTAGCTTGACATCTTCTGGCAATTTTGGTGTGTACGAAGAAGTCCCAGAATATGACCAGACACAGTGTATCTTTGCATTCAAGAGGTACGCGTTGTGTTTTCGCACAGTCGGAAACAGAGGTGCCGTTCGTGACAGCGTCGGCCTGCCCCGTGTGGTTGGTTGTGGCATGTCCTGAAGAGGATAGCCAACCACACGCCGAAACGCTCGAAACGGACTGGACCAGGGGTGCCCGAAAGAGTGGGCAGACTCAGTCCTAGACCAGAAAGGAGACCAAAGGAAGTTGCGCAGCCAAGTGTTTTTTGGCGACCCTGGCGCGGCACAGCCGTTGCCAGGCGGGCCTGGGGCGGGTGTACAAAGAATGCCTTGTATGTTGCACTAATATCGGTTTGCTTGGCAAAAGATTGGTTGTCAGCCGAAAGTCTCTCCAGGAACTCGTCTTCGGTGGCGCTGCAGGCGCAATGAGTATGATCAAACGATCGGAAGAATTGATCACCCTGAACACTGCCGGTGGTTCCTCACGGGCCCTCAGAACAGGTTGCGTCGCATGCCCCAACTCCAGCGGTGGCTTTACCAAACTGGGGGCATCGCAGGTGCGCTCTGATTATCCACGAGCGCCTAACGCAGGGGTCGGGTGGCTCACACCCCTGGGCAGTGGTTAGTGTCCGTTCAAGGAAAATTGGGCAATCGCCAGGCTTAGCTGCGGTTGCCGGCGGTGTCACGAAAGAGGGGACAGTTGTTTCTTCCCTTCTTCGAAGGCCAAAACAGCAGGCTCTCAGAACCTAGTTTGACATCTTCTGGCAATTGTGGTGTGTACCAAAGAGTCCCAGAATATGACCAGACACAATGCATCTTTGCATTCAAGAGGTACGCGCGGTGTTTTCGCACAGTCGGAAACAGAGGTGTCGTTCGTGACAGCGTCGGCCTGCCCCGTGTGGTTGGTTGTGGCAGGTCCTGAAGAGGATAGCCAGACACACCGAAACGCTCGAAACGGACTGGACCAGGGGTGCCCGAAAGAGTGGGCAGACTCAGTCCTAGACCAGAAAGGAGACCAAAGGAAATTGCGCAGCCAACTGCTTCTCGGCGACCCTGGCGCGGCACAACTGTTGCCAGGCGAGCCTGAGGCCGGTGTACAAATAATGAACTAATGTGGATCTTCTTGGAGGAGGAGGCGGAGGAGGAGGAGGGTGAGAAGGATATGGCCGCAGCCAGACGATCTGGATCCGGCCAGACCTGTGGTTTTCAATGACTTTCTGCCTGGTCAAGGCGCCGACTGTCAAGGGAACCTGGCGCGAAGTTCAGGCAAGATGCAAGAGGCAGAGAGGCAGAGGATGGTGCGGATTAGGAGGAAGAGGAGGAGGGAGGGGGAATGAGGAGCAGGAGGAGGCAGAGGAGGAGGAGGAGGAGGAGGAAGGGAGAGGGAAGAAGGAGGCGGCGGCGGATGAGTAGTAGTAGTAATAGTAGTAATAGTAGTAGTAGTAGTAGTAGTAGTAGTAGTAGTAGTAGTAGTAGTAGTAGCAGTAGTAGTAGTAGTAGTAGTAGTCGTAGTCGTAGTCGTAGTCGTAGTAGTAGTCGTAGTAGTAGTAGTAGTAGTAGGAGGAGGAGAGGAGGAGGAGGAGGAGGAGGAGGAGGAGGAGGAGGAGGAGGGGGGAGGAGGAGGAGGCGGCGGCGGCGGAGGAGGAAGATGAGAAGGATGAGGAGGAGGATGAGGAGGAGAAAGGAAGAGGAGGAGGAGGAGGAGGAGGAGAAGTAGGAGGGAGAGGGAAGAAGGAAATGAAGGATAAGGAGGAGGAGTAGAAGGAGTAGGAGGAGGAGGAAGAGGAGGAGGGGAAGGAGGAGGAGGAGGAGGAAAAGTAGGAGGGAGAGGGAAGAAGGAAAAGAAGGAAAAGGATGAGGAGTAGAAGGAGTAGGAGGAGGAGGAAAAGGAGGAGGAGGAGGAGGAGGTCTGTAGCCGTGTGGCTCAAGGGCTGCCACTGCTCCCAGGCGGTTTCCTCCTGCTGAACTTTCCTTGCGATGTAGCGGCGCCCGCTGCGATCCCGGGTGCGCGAGCCGGCTCGGATAGTTACGGCAAAATCGTCGATGGCATGCCAGTGGCGCAGGCTGCTTTTGGTGCGGCCCTGGCGTGTCTGGCGATGGCTACGGGCACAAAGGCATCTGCCTCTGCCGTGGCGGCTCCGGCTTCCGGTTCTGGTCTTCCGGAAGTTTCAGCCTTCGCGCTTCACGAAGAGGTTCTCGTGGCGGTGCAGCGCGCGGCCAATCTCACCGTGAAGCTTGCCATACCAGAGGCTAAAGACCTGTTGATGAGTCATGGCTGCAGTGAGCTCGCCTCACGCTTGGGGCGCCTTTGCAAAGTCAGGAATGCTCCTGCACACCTTGATATCGGCCTCGCGTCTGATTTACAGAGGCTCTTTGCGCAGCCGGGCAGGCGGGAGACCAAGAGCACTCACGAAAAGCATGCATCTCACTCGGACTTCTGTCGGAGCTGGAAACGGTGCACGACGAGTTCAAGAAGCTGCGGTTCGAGGTCGACAATTTCACGGACAGCTCGTTTGTATCCACCCGCAGTGTTCCCGCTGGGCACACTCCTGTACAGGATGTTGGGCAAGCCGTGTCGCAAGGTACGGCGACGGCGACAGAGACACAAAAGGTCCTGCTGGCTATCGCAGTGAGGGCAAGGTCAGTGCGGACGCTTCTGGCCCTGAGGATTTCATCGCAAAGCCGGAGGACTGGTTCGAGGACTTCAGGAAGAAACGACAGGGTGAATCGGGGGAAGACCTGAGCGGAAACGGGGGGTTCTTTGTGCTTGCACGGGGGGGCCCTATGCAGTGTTACAGTGTTGCAGGAGGAGGAGGAGGGGGAGGAGGAGGAGGAGGAGGAGGAGGAGGAGGAGGAGGAGGAGGAGGAGGAGTGAGAGAAGGGTGTGGCCCCAGCCAGATGATCTGGAGCCGGCCAGACCTGTGGTAATAATGTGTTTTTGGCCCGGTCAAGGCGCCCTCTGTCAAGGGAACTTGACGTACAGTTCAGATGCAAGAGGGAGAGGATGCTGAGGATCAGGAGGAGGGAGGGGGAATGAGGATGAGGAACAGGAGGAGGAGGAGGATGAGAAGGAGGGGGAGGAGGAGGAGGAGGCGGAGGTAGAGGAGGAGGAGGAGGAGGAGGAGGAGGAGCAGGAGGAAGAGGAGAGAGAGGGACGGAGGAGCAGGAGGAGGCGGCGGATGAGGAGGAGGAGGAGGAAGAGGAGGAGGAGGAGGAGAAGAGGGAGGAGGAGCACGAGGAGGAGGAGGCGGAGTGGGAGCGAGAGGGGCAGGGAGACGGAAAGAGGCGGAGCGAACGAGGAATCACGATGGAGCAGGCTCTCTTGCCTGGTTCGCCTCCCCCCGCCGCCTGGCCTCCCCCTCGCCCGAGAAGCCGAGACTTCTGGCAGATTTGTCTCGAGCCTCGATCCTCGATCATCCTCGATCCTCCTCGATCCTCGATCCTCCATCGGCCTGCCGCCCCAGCATGCCGGACCGCGGCGACGTCTGCGGGCTCTCCGGCCTGGGGGCGAGCTTGGTGCGCCCGCCGCTGGCGGGCCGCCGCTGCCGACGGGCCGCCGCCGCCGCCTCGGCCGCGCGCGCATCCACCGAGGAACAACCGACGACAACCACACGCATCGGTCGTTGAAAGTCTGTATTCTGAAGAAGAAAAAGATGCGTAAATCAGCGCAGGAAAAGGAAACGATACCACCACCCTTCCCTCGTTTTCCCCTTTTGGGGCCTCCTGGTACGTCTTCGTCGCCACCGCTGAGTTCGTCTAGGAATTCTGGTCAGAACGCACACCAGGAGAGGTCCAGGTCCAGAAAGTAGCGGTATCGGTACCTTTTGGTTTCCCCAATGCACATAATTTTCTGAAGCCCCGAACGGTTTGCCAGATCTGCGGCGGCCCCCCCCCCTGGCGGCGTCTGCGGCGCCGCATTTGGCGCCCTTCGCGCGCAATGGAGGGGTATCCAGCGCGGATCCAAGAAATCCGCGCGGAGCTCCGAAAGCATAGGCATAATATCTATTTAATCGCTTCGCTCATTCCGCCGGCCCTCTCTATGGGGCCTCTTTGAAGCCTCTTGGGGGCCTCTTCGGGGCCTCCTAGGGGCCTCTTGGGGGCCTCTTGGGGGTCTCTTGGGGCTCCTTGGCGGCGTCTTGGGGCCCCCTTGGGCCTCTTGGGGGGCTCTTCGGGGCCTCTTGGGGCGGGGTAGTCGAGTGCACCCCCCTCGGAGGCCACAATCCTCGTGAGGGGTGTCGAAACAAGGCCCTCAAAACCATCTCTGATCCGACCCTGCCGGGGATCGCCCGGGGTACTTTTCGTCCGGGGACCCCCAGGGGCCGCCCCGCGCGCGCGAAGTAGAAGTATTAAAAGCAGTTACCGGAGATCTTAGCACGCCTCTGGCCCGTTGGGCAGGCGAATTATGACGTTTTCCCCCAACAGTGCTTGCACTTAGGGATTCTTCTTACTTGTCTTAACCATCTCGGGGTGAATGGCGGTTTTTGCGGGCGGTGCCGCCCGTCGCCGCCGTCGCCGTCGCCGTCGCCGTCGCCGTCGCCGGTGCCGTCCGTCGCCGCTTCGCCGTCACCGTCGCCGTCGCCGCCGCTCGGGGCGAGTGGCGGCTTTTGCTGGCGGTGCCGCCCGTCGCCGCCGTTGCCGCCGTCGCCGTCGCCGCCGCTGGGGACGAGTAGCGGCTTCTGCGGGCTGTGCCGCCCGTCGCCGCCGTCGCCGTCGCATAGAAAATAGATTATACCCCCTCCTGGGATTATCGCCCCCTCGATTCGTATTGCAATTCACATACGATTCTGCCCCATCGTCCATCCCGAGTATTTTCACACCATCCAAGCCGAGCCGGCATTTGATGCTTTCTGACGGACCGAACGAGGGCCCGAAAGCGGCCAACAATTTCAGGACACAGCGACAAACGTCAGGGCCCGTTTCCCTCAGGACCCGTTCTCCCATGGCGATCAGACACGGTCGACGGGCATCTTGCGGGAGGTTCGCGCCGCGTCGGTGTTGCGGCGACCGCAGCGCGGGCGCCGCCTGCAGCCCAGAGTCGGCCGACATTGGGTGATCCGCGCCATCGGAACGACGTGACCTCTTCGGACAGGGCCAGGACGAGGATGAATCCGTTCCAGAGCTTTCTGGAACGCTCTGAGAAGGCCGCGGCGCCCGAGACATCTTCCAGAGCCTCCTGGACCTCAGAGATTATCGATTTATCCTCACCCCCACACCCAAACTTATATTTGACTTGGCTCCGTCTTACCTCTTCAATCGAAGTAGGAAAACAAGGTTGGCAGATCCACGTGGTGCCAGAAGCCAACGCCGACGTCGCAACACACGGGCCTGCCATAAACGCGCCTCAGCGTGCCAAGGTGCACGGGGGCGCGCGTCTTCCCAGGTTCTTCCCTGCCCTCCGCCAGGGCGACGCGCTCTTCGCGCTTCGCCAGACTCGTCCCGCGCGCCCGCGACCGCTGGAGCTGCCGAGTAAGACGTGTCCAGGGCGAGGGTGGGCCGTGCAGTCCTTCGGGGTCAGCGGCGAAAACCCAATTCTACCCTCGCCGATCAACGATTCAGGCAACTCGATGGGCGGCGGGGGAAGGGCTCGGAATTCGTCGAACACGGAAGCCGAACCCTGGTGGAGTCGGTGGTTGGGAGGGGTAAGGGTTCGGATGTCGCCACCTATCGGGAGATGTGGTGTGCTTTTTCGCATGGTCACTCGCATGCTCTCAGACTGCACTCCTCGCGCTGGCAGACGGTGGACGTCACGAACAATTCCGACTACGAGTTCGTGATAGAGGAGGAGTGGTTGAAGTCGGGCAGCCTCAAGGAGCGGCCTCGCCGCAAGGATGGACGGAGCAGGGAGGAGGGAGGAAGGAAAAGGAGAACCAAGGGAGCGTGGCACATTGATTCGGGAATACAGTGGTGTGACAGGTTGAGCGCCGCCAGGGCCCCGGAGTCGCCCGGCATCGAGCGATCGAGCGCCATTAGAGTTGCCACCGTTGAGGATTGAACCTGCGTGAATATGAACATACACTTCGACGGCATGAGCATACAATTTCGACTGCCCGCGCGGATCCCCCCTCCCCGGCCCGCAGAGCGGAGCGCGCCAGGGGTGGCGCCAGAGGCGCCGCCTGGGGGGGCCCGTTGCCGATTCAAGAAATCCGCACGGACCGTCGAAAGTGTCGTTTGTATGGTTTCTCTTGTGAGATGGCGGTAATGGAAGATGATGGCAGTGACGATGGTTGCGAAAATTGTAAGGATCTTCATGATAGTGGTCATGATGACAGTGCCGCTGATGATGGTGGCGGTGATGGTAATGGGGACGACCGCGAGGATGACGACGACGACGACGACGACGACGGCGGCGACGACGACGACGACGATGACGATGATGATGATGATGATGATGATGATGATGATGATGATGATGATGATGATGATGCTGATGCTGATGCTGATGCTGATGCTGATGCTGATGCTGATGCTGCTGCTGCTGATGACGATGCTGAGTAATTATTGTTATTCTTAATTTTCTTATTACTATTCGTAGTTTTGTGTTGGTGGAAGCGGACAGGAACAGGAAGGAGCACGCACATCGGACAACGTCGCTCGGCGCGGCCGACCGCGATCGACGCCGGAACTACCGCTGGCTTTTGGTACGAGTACTGGGTGAGCGCACAGCGGAAACACATGATCCTCCCCTTGCGATTCCCGTCAAACACCGATGTCAATTGATCATTGGTGGCCCGCTCATGATCCAGATGTTTCTGCCTCCACGTGCGCTCTGCGTGTTTTTGTTGCAGGCCTGGCGACGCCCGATCCTCGATCCTCGACCACCCCGAGACAGAAAAAACAGATCCTGGCCTTTGTGGTGCTATTGGAGGCCTTTGGGCCCCGAGAGGTCCCCCTCCCAGGGCCCTCTCGGGGCATCCTGGGGCCAGTGCTCGAGCTAAACGGTGTTTTGGCGATCTCGTGGAGAGTTTTCGTTCTGAATCCGTTTTGCAGTAAAGGCGGAACGAAGTCAGAACGAGGGAAAACGAAAACAAAACAAACACGGAAAGCTCCGCTTGGGCTGAGCCGTGCCCAGGGCCATTTTGAGGCCCCCGAGGCCGACCCGCGGTGGCAGTTCGGAAAGGCAGACGTTGCAGGAGAAAACGCAGCTTTGAGAGGGGCTTGGGTTGTCCTCTCGGGGATGTGCTTGGGTGGCTCCGTGGCCAACCCGGGCCGTCCTCTGGCGATCTTGAGGCATCGTGAAGGCGCGTTGGATGCAGTCTCGAACGACGTTGGGCAGTTCTGCATGATCGAACCGGCCATCTTCTGTTTCGTGACTATCCAGGACTGCGATCCATCCCGTCGCGCTCGCGACCCCGCCTGCCCAGACGCTCAGGGTTGGGGGGGGGGTAGGAGGATGGGTAAGTCCTTTCCCCCGATCAGGGAGAACGGATTGCTATGAAGAGCTGGTCCGATGGAAAGTCGGACCGACTTAGCGGTGTTGGAGCAATCCCTGTGAAGGTTTCAGCGGGGACGAGCGGGGACGACTTGACAGGATTGTTTGCATTGTGCGGTGGACGTATGTTTGACATCTGTGCAGAATCCCGATGGCGCACAAGCATGCGGGCCCCGCGTCCGCCCGCGCGAGCACACAAGTCAAAATCATTCATTAACTAGTGGCCTCCATCACATCCCGCCATCGTGCCTGGGTTGTGGGTCAAAAGGAATCTTGGATCACGGTGGGGTCTGTTGGGGCGTTTCTCGGGGCCCTCGTAGAGGCAGTTCTGCTGACTCTTGAAGCCTCATTGGAGCCTCTTTGGGCTAAGTTGGGTCTCCTGGGGGCCTCTACTCTTTAGGCTTGGACCAGTATTTTGTTGAACGCCGCCACACGCGCCCAGGCCGAACCACCGCACGTTGGGAATGCCTGCGCTGATTCCGTCCTTCGTTTTGCAGCGCAGTCGTGCTATGTGTGGATCACACGGTTTTTCATTCACACACCCACCATGACTTGTGTTAATTATCCATTCAGTGTCGCATAGACGTGGCCCGAGCGAATTGCGATGATTTCTTGTTTGCAGTATGCCAGTTCAAATCACCACCACAGATGGCGAGGACACCTCAAGATGAACGGGGCTCAACCAGGCCAAACCAGGGCCACACCAGGCAACTTATGAGGGCGCCTCAAGCGGAACCAAACCCAAACCAGGCCAAACCGGGATGGGCAATATGTCAGGACGTCTCAGGCGGGACCAGGCCCAAACCAGGGCCACACCAGGCACTTGATAAGGACGACTCAGGCGGAGCCAGGCCCAAACCAGACAAAACCATGACCAAACCAGCAGATGTTGAAGATGTCTCAACTGGTGCGCGCGGCCAGACTAGGCCAAACCATGCCGAACCAGGCCAAACCACGGGCCAAACTAGGGGCCACAGCAGGGCAGATGTTGAGGACGTCCTGAACAGAATCGCCCAAACAGGCCCCATTCACTCCTGAATGCATTTACGTAAATCACAAGGAGTAGATCACCCCAGGGGGGGGGGGCCGCAGGCTGAAGCCCGTTTAGAATTTCAATGGGTGGTGATGCGGAGTGGGTTGGGCGCAGAAGCCTTCACTCATGTTTCGGGCTTTGTTGGGCGTTGGTGCGGCGTTCAGACAAATACTTCTGAGCTTGATCAGGCTCGGAAAGGCTTTCATCTAACGCCGCCGCGGGCGCCCAGGCCGACCCGCAGCATGCTGGGAATGCCCACGCTGATTCCGCCCGTCGTTTTGCAGCGCAGTCGCACTATATGTGTGGATCACACGGTTTCATTGCGCACAGTTCCATTACTTCGGTTTCACACACCCACCACGACCTTTGTCGATTACCCATGCAGTGTCCAGGAGACGTGGCCCGAGCGAACTGCCAGATTTTCTTTTGCGCAGCATGCCAGTTCGAATCACCGCCACAAAGTGCGACGACATCTCAAGCGGAACGGGGCCCACACCAGGCCAAACCAGGGCCAAACCAGGGAACTGATGAGGACGTCCCAGGCGGGACCAGGCCCAAACCAGGTTTAACCAGGACCCCTCCAGGCAATTTGTCAAATTGTCTCAGGCGGAACCGGAGTTGTACGACGCCTTTCAATAACGAGAGAGCCAGACTTCGCAACCACAGGATGCTCGGGGACGCGGGTGGAGGGCCAGCGGCGCACTTTGATTGTTTACTTTCCCTCAGCTCAGAGACGTAAGAGCGGCCCAGACTATGCTCTCTTGTGTTCTTCTGCGCAGACCTGATTGTCAGCCACATTATCATGACGGCCAACCTCCTTTCTGCTACTGCTGCCTACTCCTCCAGTCGAGGCGTATGCAATCTCCCCCCCCTTGGGGAGCCGATTTTTTTGGGCAGTGGCGCCGAGGTGCGGAGGGGATATGGATATGCTCGACCCGGTCCCACCCCCTGGTAGGGCCCAAACGTGTCCACATCCACCGCCCCCCTGTGGCCCAGGGTCATCGGCTCCTCAGGCGGGGCTCCCCAGGCGGTGGTAAATCCCAGCTTCCGAGACGAGGGAGAGGAGGAGGAGGAGGAGGAGGAGGAGGAGGGGGAGGAGGAGGAAGAGAAGGACGAGGAGCCGCCTTCTCAGGGGGGAGAAGCTTCCTCGCCCTCCTCACTTTCCCAGGGCAGTGCAGCCTGTGGCGGCCGCGCCCACCCTGCGCGGGCAGGACCGCCTGAAGCCCATCCCGGCCAGGTCGAGCTGCCAGGCCCCGTGGCGACCGTGCATCCGCCGGGCAGGAGGGAGCTGCTTCCTGCTGGGTGGGCGGGGGAGGGGGGAGGCACGACGGGGACAGAAAGGGCCAGAAAAGGGTCTCGACACCGCAATTTACTCTCGCCTCGTTTTCCCTTTCTTGGGCCTCTTGCGAGTCCCTCGTCGCCACCGCTGGATTCGCCTCGAAATTCTGGTCAGAACCCCCCCCCCAGGAGAGATCGGGGAGTAGCGGCATCGAGACTTTTTGGCCTCCCCAAAGGAGGGAGGGAGGGAGGGAGGGTGGGAGGGGGAGATCGAGGATCGAGGACCGAGGACCGAGGCTTGTGCAGGTTCCTTGTCTTCTTTGGATCGCTGGGCATGGGGGAGTTGCTTCCTGGGGGGCGAAACGGGGAGGAGGAGGAAGAGATGGAGTGGTAGCTTTAGGTTGCGCACAGGCAGCCCCCCATGTAGTCCCAGCTGGGTTCAACAGGCCCCCCCCGAGAAGTCCCAACTGGCCTCAACGGGCCCTGCGAGTAGCCCAGGGCGGTCTCAACACCCCCGCACAGCCTATGGCGGCGCCCCTAGGGCGCTCCGCGCCCCGCGGCATGGAGTTCGTCGCAGAAAACGCCTTCGCGTTGACGAGAGACGAATCAGACCCAGACGAAGGAGCGGTGAATTACCCAACCATCTGGCCTCAGCTTATTCACTCGATGGTTGATGCATCAGATCTCTGGCTGGCGCGCCCCCAGTGTGAAAACTCAGTGGGCTTTTCTAGTTTTATTTTCCCCGCGATCCGCTTTTCTGTTCGAGCTTTTTCAGCACTGGTCGCGCGTCAGGCGTGGTCAGCAACCGATCACCGTGGTCATCGCCGCCTCTCGTTGTCCGCCCTCTGTCTTTGTTCGAATGCGTCGTCCTGCCGACGCCGCGACGGTGAAAGTGCGAAGTTCCCAAAACAGTCCACGCACGGAGAGACGCTGTGAAATCACGAAGGAGAGGTGCAATGAACACCGGAATGAAAACCCAATGGGGATTCAGTGAGAATTGACACATTAAGTGAAAAAGTCTGGCTCGTTTCAAGGCCAGTCTGTGTTTCATCTGTTTGGGAGTTTTTTGAGGCCCATCGAGGGACCTTTCGCGGCGCCCTCAGTGCGACGGGGATTTGAATTTTCATTTCGTTCTCGCGTCGACTTGCCCGGATGTTCAGGGGAGTCGCGTTCGCCGTATATTCGGATCGCATTTTCATTGCGATATTTGTCTGGTAGGATGGGGCATTCTTGCCGTTGCAGCCATCGCGATGGGGCGCGGCCCGCAAACGCAGTCAACGCGCTTGTCGGAGGCGTTGGCAAAACCCCTCAACCAAATTCAGGGGCGCTGCGAAATTTCATCCGGTACATTTGCGGACATCGCAACCCCTGGCAGATCAAGCAGGATTGAATATCAATGCAGTAGACAAGAGCTATTTACTACTCCAGGGATGTGATTCATCCGCGGAGCGTAGTGGCGACATCTAGCTGACGATAGACGGCGACTTGAAACGATGCCACGATGCCAATACCATCACGACACGTTTCGCCCAGCAGTCCCTAGCCCAAAACCAGTTTGATCAGTGCGCGGGCTACTGCTTCGATCTCGGCAACGATGATGATTGGGACTGCGAAGGGTATTGCGACGACGATGGCCAATGGCATGTTTACGAAGATCACTATTGGGATTCAAGCTGGTGGATCGACGATGACTAGCACGAGCGCGACCTCCACGACGATACCGACGAGGCTTGCAAGAAAGGCGGAAAGAACAACCCCCGCGACTGCAACAAGTGCGGCTCCAAGCTGCGCAAAACAGCGGACTGCCTGGCCGGCTCCAAAGACAAGGTGAACAAACGACGGCCACGATGCTAGCAGGAGTGACAAAGGAAAAGAGAAAAGGCAAAGGAAACAAAGGAGCATCGAGCAAATGGCAAGGGCAAGTATCGCAGCAGTGGTAATAGTCGTGGGCACGGCAAAGTGTACCGCGGTACCAGGCAAGCAACCAGACGGACACTAGGGAGATGACTACGTCGAAGACCTAGGCGACGATTGGGATCAATCATACCACGGCTAGTGCGTATCACGGGACATCAGTGTTTTGATAAAACCAACCAGCCGGCATTATGGAAACCAAACATGGCCAGGTTCACCGGGAAGGAAATTACTGGTGACGCATCATACTGGCCACCCCTCCAGACTGTAACTCCCTGCAGCCTGGACGCCCCCGATTATTCAGAGATTGGGGAGAAAATATCGCGCCGTCATCGACGTCCCGACTAGACCAAGGACCAAGGGGGGTGCAGACACCACCTCCATCAAGAGTTAGCTCATCAACAGATGGAAGTCTAGACCTATCACCTGAGGCGCATCAAGACCAGGCGATACCATAACTGGATCACCATTGCGGGCTGGCGATGATGAGAACGACCTGGGCCCCTGGAGGTTAATTCGTGGACTTCTTCGCGGCGGCTTGGATTTCTTGGTCAGGACAGCGCATAATACGCGCTGCGACATCAGTCGCGGCCAGCGCAGCGACGTGCACGAGGCGAACGAAGTCAATGCGAGCTACCACGCGGCGCGACGAGCAAAACGTCATGGTATCTCCTGTGACCTGGGAGCGTCCTCGGGCATCATTGGTGCGGACGCGGTCATATCATATCAGATGGACGCGCTGAACGGCGGCGCCGCCAGGAGAATGCCTACCCGACCTCAGTCAACGGGCATCGATGGCAAACCGACACTGGGCATTGGCGATGCAGATCTAACGTTGAAGATAGCAGCAGTGCGCGGCGCTGCCTTCATCGGCGACATGGCCGGTGGACTTGGGAGCTGGCGTCCAGGACTGATGCCGCTATCAACGCCCATCCGGCATCGAGCCATCACGTTCTCGGCAGCGCTCGGCGCTTGCGATGGAATCCTGGCAGTTTGTCTAGACAACCTTGCGCCTGGGGAATTTAGCACCGCCGACGTGCATTATTGCGATGTTGCGCACGGACTGAGGTCACGATATAATACCGATCGACGACTGGGACATTCGCGAATACGTTGGCCAGCAGTATCTTCGCGGCGTCGTCGTGGGCTATCTCAGTGGGACTTCAGACCGCCCCCCCCCAGCAGCAGATCGGCTGACCTTCAGGTTGATGCGACGCCATTGGACATTAGCGCCGGAGCGAAGTTACCGAACTCTTCTGGAATGCGCCAAGAGCCCAGAGACGCGAACATCACGCAGCAGCTGAGCGCCCAGGGACAACGCATCCATGAATTTCCAGAGCACATCAAGGTTCCAGCGAATACAAGTGCCCATCTTTCGACGCATTTCACGGCGGAACCATCAAACCAGCGATGCAGCGACGCCAAACGCAGCGACCAACGGAAGTATCGGCCGAGGGAAGCAACGACTACAGAACAGCATTCTTGGAACATATGGGGCACCTTCAAGTTTAGCCGCTACACAGGCGACGCTCTTCTCGCTGGACTCGACGAGCGACGGCGGGCCATATATCTTAAAACATCTACATCGGCATGCCGAGAAGTTCTATTGAAAGGCGAAGTTGGCAGTTGCCGCGCCGAGCAATGCCAGAGACTCCATCTACATATGTCAGATCATCAGATAGCGAGCGTGGACATCCGAGAGCATTTCTCAGGCGGCAGTTATTTGACCCTCTGTGTTTTCTTCGACCGGAGGGTTTAGCGCGATTCCAGCGGACATGCGGCGCGGTTGGAATGCGAGCCTGAAGGGCCACCAGGATATCATCCATACATTTCCAATCATTCAGAATCCACATCAAGGTATTCGCGCCTGAATGCGCGCCCCGGTCGCAGGCAAGTGCAACGTCGGACCCAGAGAAAAGAGCATCCCATGGCGTCGCCCAAGCGCCGGCCCCGCCGCTGCTGCCAAGCTCGACGGCGCGCGCTACGTCGCGCAGGGCCCGGCCGAGAGCGCGATTCGGGGCGAAGCGCAGCGACGGGGCTTGATGCGCGACAACCGGATGTGCAACGACGTCTGCGATCAGCGCCAGCCAGACTTGCGCTCGAGGCGCGACGGGCGCGCCGACCCAGAAACGCGCGAAGTTCATGGCATCATTCAGAGACAAGAAGACGGCAGCACCGCGCCAATGCACCTGGCCTCGCGCGTGGCTAGTTGGGGGAGCTTAGACATCGAAGGCCAAGATTTTCGCCGAGAATTTGCGGTCGAACATATTGCGGGACATCGGCGTGCGCAGTGAGAGAGCCAAATCGACACCATTGGACCTTCTATTCTGGATGTGAGAACGCTGCAAGCATGGAAACAAGGCGGCGACGCCGCGCGCCCGATCGAAAGCGCGCCGCTTCGATCCAGCTAGAGCGCCGATAGCGCCAGCACTGGCAGCGCCAGCACCGGCAGCGCCAGCAAGCACCGGCAAATCCAGCTCCAGCGTCTCAGCCAGCGATACTTGCACCCGGAATTCTACCAGCGCCCGAAACACTGCCAGGACTTGCTCCAGCAGGCGACGATAGTTCGAAGGGCGATTCCACGGACCCAACAAGCATCAGCGATGGAACAATGCTACCATTTGCAGGTGGCACATCTGTCCATCCAAGGGGAAGCAGATCACCGTGCGGCGGATCCTGGATACGACGGACAGCTAGTCGGAACAGGACCTCCTGGGCCTCGAGGCTTGATCGCCACTTTGCCTGGCCTTCGCCCTCGCACGTCTCTCGATTTGATGAGCTCTCAGTATGAGAGTAACGTCTGAGGTGGAATCATTCGGCGAACATGTTTCGCTAATTTTTCGTACACCAAGCGAATCGAGCTTTCAACATATCTAGATCCGTGACACGAGAACCGGAGCGAAGATACGTATCAGAGGTAAAGCATGGGTAGGATATGTCCTTATCATGCGCGTTCAGAACACATTCTACACAGAGGGCTGCAAGTAAAGAACAGGAGTGTCCTTTTCGCTCTGGGCTCAAGCTCTCGAAAGATCAGAGCGACCTCCGCTGGGAAGGGGGAAAAGAGAGGGGGAGACGATTGCAGGTGGGGTTGGAGAACCAGAGAGGGGGAGAGGGCAAGCCAGGCACGCGCGCGCCATGTCTGACATTCAACCGCTACCACCGACCCAGTCCCTTTGAATTGATTTGTTTCTCTATCCGCCGACGGGCATCCGATCCCCCAAAGGACCCAATATGTGATGCGCAATCACAAAATGAGTTGTTGTGTACATTGGACGAGGAGGAGGAGGAGGAGGAGGAGGAAAAGGATGTTGCGGATGAACAGGAGTTTGGGCAGGAGAATGAGGAAGACGAGGAGTGAGGAGGAGGAGGGGGAGGAGAAGGAGGAGGAGGAGGAGGAGGAAGAGGAAAACACAGAGCAGCAGCAGCAGCAAAAGTAGCAGAGGGGGGCGAATGCGGAGGAATGCGGAGGAGAGGAAATGAGCGAGACCGCCATTGCTTCTGGAACAAAGCTAGCAGATCCAGAAGTGAGCCTGGAAACAAGCTAGCACGTCCTAAGTGGGAAAACAAAAATGACGCGACCGATCGTGAAATCGTGTATATGGAAAATCGATGAGCGGGGGAAGCGGGGCCCCGACAGCACATGTTCAGGGGAGAAGGGAGTGCAGCAGTCATGTTGGTTTGGCATCGTTCGGACGTGTGTGTTTTCTCGGCGGCGGCAGTCGAGGAACATGTTGGATCATCATGCCGGAAAAACGCACGAAACCGAACGGGGAATGGACATCCGAGGAATGGCAGTTGAGTAATTGCAGAGGAATGCGGCTGGTGTTGGAAAGACAACATGCGGTGTGGTGCCGCCAGCCCGCTTGTTACACATTAGCCCCCACCTTGGGGATAGCGCGCACCGAAGAAGCCCTGGCGGGTGAGTAGCGTGCACAGAAGGGGCCCTCGCGGGGGGGATCGCCACACAGGAATAGCGTGCGTCTCGAAGATCGATGTTGCACGCCATTTTTCCAGCGCCAACCGTTGGGGCAGGGAGAGGGAAGCTTGAATGGAATAGTGGCTCTGCCAGCTGCACGTGAGAGACCGTGTCGCGAGCGTCGTGCGTTGTGCGTGATTTGCGTACCGTCGGCGACATCGCGTGGGGCATTCGGGGCGTTTCTTCCGAATGAGAAGCTTCATGTCACTGCTGCGTGTATTGCGATACCTTTGCCGATTGGTCAGTCTCCATTGCAAGTTTCCGACTCACGCCAGGTGGTGGTGGAGGCCCCTGACATAGTCCAGGTTCCATTATTCTATGTAGTTGTGAGTTGTTATGTTTTTGTTTGTTCATGCTCGGTTGTATTTCTCATCTGCTTGTCTTTGCCCGAACGCGGTGCAGGGTGAGGTGTGGTTCCGTTCCGTATACAGTCGAGTCCTTGTTCTCCTCCGCCTCTGCAGTTTTTTCCTATCTCGAGGCCCTCTTTCCTCCTGTCCATATTCCTTGTCCTTGCTGCGCCGGGCTTGTGCCCCTCCTCTTTGTCCACAGCGGAAGAAAGATCGAGATGTGTGTTCTTTTCATTTGGTGAGCCCGTAACGTCCGTTACGGGGGTCCCCACCCCCCGCCTTTCCCCCCTTCCCCATAACGGTACCGAGCGTACTCGGGGGGGGGGGGGCACAGGCATGGCGCGGTGTTCATGGGCATGTTGCTGTGCTGGCAGGCGTGCTTTGATGCTGTGGCGCTCACAGGCTCTCCCCCCCGTAACGGACGTCACGGGGGGGAATGAAAAAACAATATTTTTGTCATCCTCGTCTTGCTACCAGCTGCCCCAAAACAAAAACCTCATACATCTGACGATGCTTTTTCCGCAGTGCGCGGCCCCAGAGGTCCCGACCGCTTCCCCGGGGACCGTCCTTTGTCCTGGATTCGTTTCTGATGGCCTCGAGGCTTAACAGCGGGCCCCACAGGCCGCAGCCGAAGGAAAGGCTCCAGGACGGAGCAAAGTTCGAGGAACAAAGAATAAACATATAGATTGTTTCCACGTCCGCGCGGATTTCTCGGGTCGACGCTAGACCCCAGGCGGCCGCCAGGGGCGGTGCTGGAGGCGCCGCCAGGGGGCCCCAGCGCGAATCCGAGAAGTCCGCGCGGACCTCCAAAAAGTAACCGACACCCTTTCCGCGAGGGCATCAGCGGAGTCGTCTGGTGGGTGGACAGCTCCGCGAAGAGCGTGCGCCGCTTCCCGCGCGCCGCCCCCCGTCGCGTCTGGGCTGGCCGTCCCCTCGTCGGGGTGTGTGCGCGCTGCCGGCCCAGGGCTCGGCCGGCCCGCCGTCCCTCCTCGCACAGCCAGATCCGTCGCAGGGACGGGGTTCTCCATCTTGGCGGCGAGCGAGGGGGTGGAGGAGTGAGACGGGGCGGGCCATCTCAGGAGGCTCGGAAGTCTGTCTGAGAAGTTCTGTAAGCCTTCCCCGAAGACACAGAACACTTCTCAAAAAGGCCGGAGGGCTTCTTAGAAAGCCCCGCCGCCTTCTGAGAAGGCCTTCTCCTTCTCGCTTCCCCCCCTCGCTCGCCGCCGACTATCGACCAAGACATCTGAAGAGATTGTCTGGGCCTCCGAGGTGGGGTCGGAGCAGATGGGGTCGGAGGATTGCGCCGCATCGCCGATGCAGTGGTCTTGCGTCTCGATGTTGAGCCCGAGTCTCTCCACGCCAGCGTCGCCGATACACCGCCGACGTCGCCGATGCATCGTTGATACATCGGCGATGCGGCGTGATCCTCCGACCCCATCTACTCGGAACCCATCTGAGAGGCCCCTAGATTGTCGGAAACCCAGAAGATGGGATAAACATGACTGTCGGAGCTCCGCGCGGATTGCTCGGATCCAGGCTGGACCCCCGAAGGCGGCGCCTCCGGCGCCGCCTCTGGTGTGCTCCGCGCGCCAGGGAGGGGGTTCAAGCGCGGATCTGAAAAATTCGCGCCGTCCTCCAACATGTGTTTATGTCATGCTGTGTTACCCGTAGATTGAGGCCCAAGTGATGCCCTCAGTCTTCGGATGCCTCCGGAAGCTGCCGCCAGTGGGCAATTTGATTGCCGCCCGCTGTGTCACGGGCTACGGGCCCGTGCCCTTTACCGCGTGAGTATTTCTGTGCGGTCTTCTTCAGCTGCGCAGGCTGGCGGGGGGGGGGGCCCGTGCACCCTCGCCGTCCAGACGCCATCGTCGGAGCTGTGCCGCCTCCCAGAACAGTAGATCTCAAAGGAGAAACAGGGACCAACGCCACCGAGAATCCATCGGGGGAAACTGGAGATCTCCAACTATGTGATTCCCCATCCGACAGGGTGGGGCTGTCAGATTTTACGGGAAACGCTCCTGGCCCGCCTCGTGCGCCCTGCATGCCGTGGCCGCCAGACCCCACGGGGCCTGGTGCTTCCTGGGGATCCGCCCCGCCGCGCGTTCTCGGGTGGGATTTGCTGCAAGAAGCAACACATCGTGACGACGACGACGACGAGGCGGAAGAAGAGGAGAGGAGGAGGAGCCGGAAAAGGAGGCGGAGGACGCGGTGGAGCAGCAGGAGGGGGAGGAGGAGGATGCGGAGAAGGATGACTAGGGGGAGCAGGGGCAGGGCGAGGACGGGGGGGGAACGGACTGTCCCACTTACTCGCTGGGGGCCCCTCCAGAGGGTCTCGAGGTCCTGCGGTTCGCCTCGTCCCCTCTCGTCCTTTCCCTCTTCGTGCTTGTGTCTAGGGGAGTAGGCCCGTCGTCTTTGCAGCTCATGTGGGCTCCATGATGAATTTTCTGCGACTGGGCGGACAAGTCTCGCTCGCCCTCACGATCCCGCCCCCCCTACCGTGATCCCGACATCCTGGGGCCACGGTAAGCGGAACAGTGGTTGCAGGGCAGTTCGAGGACGAATCGCTGGACATAGCGGACGCGACTCCCCGCGACAGAGAAGAGATTATGACGGATCTGTTTCGGAGAATGAGGGAGGCCGCCGCAACGGCTGTTTCAGCCAACCAGCCATCCCAGCAGGCAGCGGCTGGAGCAGCGACACCTCGGCCCGCAGCGGCAGCAGATGACGATGACGGTGGGTCTGGTCATCCTGGTGGGCTCGGGTTTCTTGGGGCGACGGAGGAGTGGGTTGGACAGCGTCATTATTGGGATGGTCGGACAATCGCTCTGAAGTGAATTTCGGGGCACCGCCTGCGTGGCTGGGATTCGAACATCTACGTTTGTGCAGGGCGAATCGGAGGGCCAGGTCATCCCGCGCTGGCAATAAGAAGGAAACGCAAGGTAGCACAGTTTTCCAGACAGAGTTCCGACTCGCGTGGGCCACTCTAGACTCCGAAGGCGGGGCCGCCAAGTTGCCGGACCACCCGCCTCTCCGCCCTCGGCGGAAGAGGCCTGGCGACGAAGGGCGCGAGGCGCGCAATCTTGCGCTCTTCAATTTTTCGATTCGGCGCAACGGGCTCTTCACCGATTTTGTGCTACGACGGGGCGCTCAGGTGACCGAGGCGGAATTGTTTGGACTCGCGCTCGCAGATGCGATCGAATCTAGGTCTATCGAGGAGGGGGCCAACCTGGGTGCACAGAACAGGATAAACCTCAGGACTCTATCGAGTGGCAGTCGTGATCTTACCTTGATCAGCTAAGCCCTTCTGTTGCCCGACGTTGGCGAGAAAGGCGTTTCTCCTGGGCAGACCGTCGCCCCGGGACAGCAGTGGACCTACCGCGCGGGCCGAACTGCCGTAGACTGGCCGAAAGTCCGCCCAAGCGGCGCTCTCGCCTCGGCGCGGGCAGCTCGCCGCCAGCGTCACCCACGCGCCGTGGCAAGTTCAAATGGATGTCTTAGGAGAGACCGGCTGTCGTGGTTCAGACGGGGGGCTGGGCGACGTGGGCGAATCAGATGCACGTTTGACGAAAGTCAAAATCGAAACTGCGCCCCGGCATATTGGGCCAGTTTGATTGCCGCCAGTTTCCGTCGCGCGCGCGCGGAGCAAGGGCCCGACGGTGATGGCGGATCATTGTGCAGGCATGTGTGCGTCTCGTGGAGTGCGTTGCGGTGTTTATCCCCATCTTCTGCGTCGAGAATTATTGTTTTCCGCGTCGCGCCTCCGTCTACTCATTCCTTCTTCTTTTCCCCCCTCTTTCTCCCCCTCCCCCTCCTCCTCCTCCCCCCCCCCTCCTTCTCCACATCGCGATCATAATCATCGCAGGGGGGCGCGCGCATCACTTGGTCAACGCAAGGGGGTGCCGCCAGGGGATCAGATTGCGGGGATGTTTCCAGCGGCTTACTGACTTCACGGATGTAGGCGCGTCTTTGAGGGCCGCGCGGTGTTCGCGATGTCGCGGCGAACGCTGTTGGGCGCCACAATGGGGGGGGGCAACCGCGGCGCAGTGCACTTGCCCTTTGGCGCCCAGCATTCGGGGATGTCTCGCGCGAGACGCTGACTTTTTGAGGTGGGCGTTTTTGTTTTGCTAGTTTTTTATGTTTCTTTATTTTTCTTTCTGTCCCAGGGCCGCCGCGAAGAAAGCGAGTGCGTTGGCCCCGGCAGTCGCCGCGGTACTCGGGCGACCGTGGTCGATGTTTCTTGGCGCGCACCGTTCAAAATATTGCGCGGCGGTTGCGCGACGACGGCGGGCGCGCCGTAGAACCCTTCATGACGGCCATCGTTGTCGCGCTTTTCGTGGCGGTTGCAAGACGAGCGCGGGCGCGGTGGTCGCGCGCATTTGGGCGTTCATATTCGTCATGATGCTCGCATGTGGTTGGCCAGACGCAGGACTTGTGTAGGTCTTGGGAAAATCGTTGGTAAGCGCTGGCTAGGTCGTGGGCGGGCCTTCGCTGGGCTCCGGGCGGGCCATGCGTCAGCTTGTGAAAGGCCGCCAGGTTGGCCTGGGGCAGGCATTGGATGGGCAGTCGGGCTGACCTTGGGCAGACATAGGGGCTCGTGGGCAGGCATTGGGCAGTTGGCGTTGGGTTTGCTCCAGGTGGGCCTTGGGCGCTCTGGGTCGCCCAGGCCTTGGGCAGGGGCAGAGTGCGCGAGGGGCGTGCCGGAATCGGGCCCACTGAGCCGTCTTGAGAGGTTAGTTTTTTTTCATAGATAGATCTCTATATATATATATAGTTGCAAGCTCACACTGCGACAAAACACCTTCCCGAACCTCGCCCTCATGTCGTGGATGAGCCCACTGCCCAACGCTGGAGAGCCCGCAGGCGCAGCCGCGGCAGAAGCGGCACAGCCTGCTCACAAGTCCCGACGCCGCCAGCCCACCGGCCGTGGAAACCAACAGAGTGGGTCGAAGTCCAAGCTGGTGGACCTGCAGTCGCTCGACCTGGAGGAGATGGTACTGAAAGATATTCAGCGCATGTTCCCCATTGTCATGAAGCTACTACTCAACGTTGCGATGAGGCAGCGCCAGACCGACGCCATACTGATCAAGACGTACCTCGTCTCACCTGGCACGAAAAGCGTCGCGGCGATCCGAGCTCGCGTTCGCGCATGGGTAAAAAGAGCCGAAGAGATACGAAGTACGACGACGGCACCGCAGATCGATGCGGAGATGGCGAAGATCGGCACGATCAGCACCGCAGCCTTCGCAGGTCTGCTCGAAGGTCTCCATCGGGAAGGCGCGTCCGTCGGCGGCCTCGACTAGCAGGATCTGACAGCGCTGGGCGAGAAGCTGAAGACCATGGACATCAAGCAGGTAGTCGAGCTCGTCCCGCTCGTGAAGGCCAGCGACGCGCACGACGCCGCGCAGTGCAAGCTTCAGATCAGCCTCAACACCGAGAGCGACGTCGACCTCAGTGTCATTCACGAATCACTCATACAGACGGGAGCGATCTACAAGCCAGGCCAGGGACCGATGGTGCACATGGAGAGCGATCTACAAGCTGACGCAGTTCGAGGACGTGACCATGGGATCGATTTCTACGCCTCCAACTGGGCAAGGCATAGCTGTGCGCAATGGGGCCCTTGTATTCCGAAGAATACTGTGACGACAGGCAAGGGGAGTTTCTCGCCTGCTTCTGGGCACGCGCCAACTCCTGCGCCAACTGTTCAGGGCATGGAGAGCCCACCACACGCATCTACGAACGCGCCTTCTTCGACTCCAGCAGTTCAGGGCATTGGGTGCCCACCTTCTGCATCGCAGAGTGCGCCTACACCATCAGTTGTTCAGGGCCTGGAGAGCCCACCTTTTGCTTCGCAGAGTGCGCCTACTTCAGTTGTTCAGGG